TTTATGCTGGTCTTGCTTCAGATTACAGATAAGGCATTACATTCCAACTCTAGTGAGTGGATAGACAATTTCAAAATGACAGCTATGAAACGGCTTGTAGTGTACCAGTTTCCCCCTCGTTTATCTATCTATATATCTATCTGCCTTTCAGGATGTATGGCTTATTATTATCTGATTTCACGTCTAACTAATCATTTGCAAAACCAACAAAAAAAAAAACAGAACAAAACATGCAGAAATGAATTGAATACGTTTACAACAAAACTACACATCTAAAGTAATTTATCATGTATATCAGAAATACTGTGGTGTTAGGCGTTACTAGGGTATAATAAATATGTAATGTATGTTTAATTTAAGAAAATGGAGATTACAGCTGGAGATAATAATTTTATGCGCATTTAGGTACCTTAATAAACTTCATTCATGAAAGGCTGAACAAATTTTTCTCAGATTATGATAAATTCGCTTCATTCCGCTATTGAGGTTTTTATTAGTTGCGTGCAACCCAAATAAATAAATCAGTAAGTAAATTCAATAGAGTGCCATGGTAACGGGTGAATAAATTAGAGATGGGAAGTTATGAACGTTCAAAAACATCTGATATACATACATACATATATGTAGGCCTTCTGGAGAAAAATGCCCGTTAGCCGCGAGGGAGTTCGCGATTCGATTCTCGGCAGGTGGACTCACTCTTAAACTTCGCCTTGTTTACCAGCTGGTAGTAAGTGGGGGAAAGTTCCTTCACATAATAAACTGAGAATCAAGTCCCCTCTAATATTATTTAAATTGACTAGATATGTGTTAATTCCGGAAATAATTTTTCTTTTGTGTTTAACAGCGTTCCGGATTAATCAAAACCTGAAACAGAACGTTCTTTTAGCGTGTAAAACAACAATTATCTTTTTGATGTGGTTGTGTTCTCTGAGCTGGATAGTTAATTTGCGAAGCTTTCATCACCCTACTAGGTGACATCTTCAGGGCATACTTCAATTCGATGAAGTAAGCTTTTAGATTTCTCCACGAGTTTATTAATCATCTCTTGGACGTGATTGGTTGTTTTTGTGCGTTTTCACACCTTCTAGGCTACGTGTATTGGAACTGATTGTTTCTTTGACTTGAACTTTGACCCTTTGTGTGTCAGGTTTCTTTCTTGCAAGACTCGTCAAACCTCTAGGAATTGACGTCGCACACAAACCAACAAAGTCACTTCACTCAGTTCTATGTCAACCAAAAGACTCAACAGCGAAAGAAGATAAAAACCAACATCATCTACAAAATAGATTGTATCAACTGCGAAAAACACTACATTGGCCAAAGTGGACGTCCCCTTCGTCTTCGTATCCACGGCCATAAACTAGCCGTCAAAAGACATGACACCCACTCCCTCATATCACTACATACAGACAACCACGGGCATCAATACAATTGGGACATTGTTCAAATATTAGACAGAGGAAACAACAAAAATGCTAGAGAATTTTTAGAAGCTTGGCATTCCAGTGAATCATCAATCAGTAGACACATCGAGATTGACAAAATTTATCAACCGATAAGAAGAAAATCTCACACACAAAGGGTCAAAGTTCAAGTCAGAGGAACAATGAGTTACAATACAAGTAGCCTAGAAGGTATGAAAACGCACAAAAACAAGAAATCACGCCCAAGGTCACTGGGAGAGATGATTAATAAACTCGTGGAGAAATCTCAAAGCTCACTTCAATTGAAATTGAAGTATGCACTGAAGATGTCACCTAGTAGAGTGATGAAAGCTCCGCAAATTAACTATCCAGCTCAGAGAACACAACCACATCAAAATCATCCACCTTAGCTACAAATCTTCTCCATAATATCTCAAACAGTTATCATAGAGATTGGATAGATATTATTTGGATAAACCTGCAAACCTCATAGGGACAGAGAGAGATTTAACTGAAATGCACCTAGGTGCTTACTCTTATAATTACACATCACGATATATATATCATCATCCATTTCTACAGATAACGTAGGCGCATACCTATAGGCTCAAACCCAAGTGGATAAAATACTTTGGCACTTTGAAGCGATGCATGCTGGGCTCTAGTCTCAGCAGGAAATTTATCACTCACTGGGGATGGAAGTACATCCGCCTGAAATAGGAAGAAATGAGCATGCTGGATTACACTGCTAACAACCATCGACCAAATAACATCGTACCAACGTAGACACATCGTCGAAGTGTTCACAGTAGGAGGAGGAAAGTCAGCTTATAGAGTGAGCATTTTGATCTAATAAAATCAAACAACGGGCGATCCAGATAATGTATTTAAGTAGTTCTTCGTGATGTAATACTGCTTCCAAAAGGACATGTAATTCCGACTTATTTCTTACTCCTTATCCTCTATTATATTATTATATTATTATTATTTCCTTTAATTCCTAGAGGAACATAGGGCTTCAGCCATGCGTCTCCATTGCGTTCGGTTCTCTGCTGTAGTTTTCACCTGGCTCCAAGTCTGCCCACACGCTTTCAATTCCTCTTCACATGATCTCCTCCAGGTCACCCTTGGACGACCAACTCGTCGCTTCCCTTTCGGGTTCCACTCGAGGGCTTGTCTAGTGATGTCACTTGCTGGTTTCCTCAGAGTGTGTCCAATCCATCTCCATTTCTTCCTGCCTATTTGTTTCACGATCGGTTCCTGGTTGGTTCGCTCCCAGAGATCTTTGTTGCTGATCCTCTCCGGCCATTTGATCTTGAGTATTGAGCGAAGGCATTTGTTAATGAAGGTCTGTAGCTTGTTTGAGCTGCTCTTTGTGACACGCCAAGTCTCTGATCCGTATAGTAGTACTGACTTCACATTGGAGTTGAAAATACGGATCTTATTTTTGACGCTGAATGCTGTTGACCTCCACATAGACTTGAGAGAAATGAAAACTTGTCTTGCTTTTCCGATTCTGGCTTTGATATCCTCGTCAGTTCCTCCTGTAGTTGAGACGATGCTTCCCAGGTAGGTGAAAGAAGTTGTTTCCTTCAGGTTCCTCCCATTTATGCTGATTGTTGTCGGTTGTTGCTGTTGATGTTGGCCAGGAATCTTGGGTCGTCACACCGCTCCTTGAGTAGCTCCGTTGACAGTAGCAGCGGACGCCAACGAAATTTTTCAAACCTCACAACCTACTGATACATTGGCGACGGTATCAGTGGGGGCTGGACTTAGTCGCCATCATTCATCAATCCAAACCCATGAACCCAACAAATCCAAGAAATATCATGCCGGATCTGCCGTGGCCCGGATTAACAACGACCGCGCTTTCTGCTGCCGTGTCACAGGGCAGAAGTGATAAGTACACTACTGAGACACACCAGGCCGCGTGTGACCGGCCTCAAGCAGATGTCCCCTGGGCTCTGCGGTCACGCAACACTAACCTTTCTTCCATTTCAGGTACCCGAAGACGAAACTCAGGCGTGAGGCCAGCAACCCCACCCTGTAAACAAACCTGCTACAGAAACTTCACCATGAGCAATCTCCTTGCGACAAAAGAAAAAGTCTGTGTGGGGACATGGAATGTCCGCACTATGTACGAGACTGGCAAAGCTACTCCTTATCCTCTACGCCCTTCTTACTGTTAACTGATATAGAATTCTTCCACTAGCCACTGCTTTGACGTGCTTAATCCAATTTGACTTTAATGTGTTAGGTTATCTGAATACGTGGCATTACATTTCCAGTTTTCAAATGGTAAAAGTTTTATCACACAACCACAAACTTAACATGTTATAACCTACTGCACACTTGTTTCTCTTTTGTCGATTATCCTAGTCACACCATATTTAATAAAAAAAGAGTTTGCATATTTGAAGTTTTCAATTGGGACTTCATGGGATAGCCACGAATTCTCAGACTACAGTTGACGCAATGGGTGTTGATTGATGACTGGGAAGGAAGCTTCAGATTGCCATGTGATTCGAACTGACAACCTACGGAATACTAACCTGGTACCCCATTAGCTGAGCTGTCAGACCCATCTGTCAAATAAGTCATCATCCCATCGGAGTTATTATTATCAATGGACAGTTGTCATGTGAGTGAATAATAACCTTATCAAATTACTACCTGCACATCTAGGTTATCTTCTGTCAGTTCTGAACAACCCTGAGTGGATATGTTCATCATCGGATTTCAAAACATCATCCTACACAATGGTTAAGCAAGAGCCAAACAAGATCTATTCGTAGTTCTGTTTTATTTCACCATGTGGATACTGAACGTAAGGTTGGTGTTACTAAGATGCTTAAAGTTATCTATCTACCGTGTTCCGACTAATCTTAATTCTGCCTTTCAAATTCGTCTTCGACATATATAGCTGAACATACATGAAGAAGCCAACTTATGTGCTCAGAAGAAGTTTGTACAGTACCCCCTCATTTTCTCTTGAAAATCACTACATGTAGGTGGAAATCCGATGATTCTTGTGCCCCCCAACCTGCTGACCTAAACAGCTCGATTTTATTTATGCCAAATCATCAGTGTAATCGCTAACGTCCACTGTTTAAATATTACGTATGTAAATATCTGTAGAACTTGATGAGGATGTCATCAAAAAGGATATTCTTCACTTCTTAATCCTCATTATCAAATTCTTCTTTTCATTTTTATCGCTCTGGATGGAGCATAGACCTTCAAGCTTCATGCTTTGAAGTTTCAGTTACTGTGGTTACTGTGTGATTTCTACAGGACGGAACTGTCAGTCTCAGTTTCTCCGGTTCTTACCATAAGAGGTTAGGATTAAAAATGTGTAGGCTAGAAGTCAAACCGGACCACTTACATGACTGGTGAACATCCTACCACTGGATGACGGACACTCCCTTTGTCCATATTAAACAATCGAAATAACCCAATAATTTCAGATATATAAGTAACTCATCTGTCTACTTATAAGTAGTATATATTTTTAAGTGGAAAATGGTAAAAGTATCAACATTATGTTTTAAATAAATGCATGTAGTATGAACTAACCTCATTACACAAGAGAAAGAGAGTTTAAAATCATTTATATCAAGTGAAATCATAAAAAATCTGTGCAAGACATGGTCAATGATTACCGATCAGTGTGTAGACATTTGAGAAACATGAATAATTTTGACATACGATTAAATGTTTGTACAGTTGTAGGCTAAAGTCTTCAATATTGAAGCATTCACCTGATTTTAAGGTCCCCTCCTCGCCTTCTTCTTTTTCTGGTCAAAAATCAGCTTGTTCCCCAGATTTGGTAGAGATGATCAAGTGATAACTGTATTCGATTCATAATTCTCACTGTCTATCAGTGAACCACCTAAACCAGTGACACCTGAATCAGTTTGTCGAAAACTCATAGCATTTGGACTTTCATGTTTTGAAATATGATGAGTAAGACGTGATATATTTGGTGAATATCCCAGCGAAATATTAGTACTGTTATTACAAGTGTTAGTAATAGTGATTTTATTATTATTATTACTGTTACTGTTGTTATTCAGTAGCATTTGTTTACGTGTACCGAATTGTTGAGGTGATCCATGAGGAGTTGAATAAATTGATGAATCTTCGCCAAGCATGTACATTAAATGTTTCGGTGGTGGAGGTAAGGGCGGCGGTGAATTGTTGTCAATCCAACGACTTTGATACAGACGGAGTGTATTCATATTAGGCGTAGCTGTAATCTGTTTCGACTGATTAACAGATGATGCAGTCGACAGATGAATCCTGTTATTATTAAGATTATTGTAATTTGTTGATTTCAAAGGATCAGAAGAAATCCTCGTCTGTAGTCTACACGGATGTCGTGATCTTGGTGAGTAAGTGAGGCTAGCCATATTTGTTTTCGGTTCAACGTATGTGTTCAGTGAACCTTTAGTTATTGCTGTAACAGTCGGTTTTGCCATTGTGTTGTTCATTGTGAAACTGTGACAACTATTCTGATAATTAATATTTTCTGGTATACGCTGTAGCAGTGGGGAGGTAAATGTTGATGGACTTGACCGATGTACTTTATTCTGTACATTAAGTCGATACATGCCTTGTTTTGATTTAAATTTAGGCGACAGGAGAACATCTGAGATTGTATGCGATATTGGTAAAGGAGAGATATTCTTACTGGTCTGTCCACTATCTGTCGGTGTTTTCATAGAATAGACAAGTGTTCTTTGCCTATTTTCATTGCCGATGACGTCACCCTCACGGAAATCATCATCGCTGTCACCGTCATTATCTTCTTCTTCTTCCCCCACTTGATGGTTACTTTCATAACTATCCTCATCCATAGCTTTACTGACATCTTCATCCAATTCTTGCATTTTCATTAAATGTTCTACATCACAGTCATTCTGTTGAACAGTATGTTGACACTGGACACTTGCATAATTTTGTTTATCCATGTTACTTAAACTGCATTTTTTAAGCCAGCCATTTTCAAAATTTTGAAGTGGAAAGTTAGCAGTCAACAAATGATTTGTCTCACACAGACGAATTGAAAGAATAACTAGTTGAATCAAGAAATCACCGAATAGGCAGCTTAATTCAATTAAAAGCCAATTTTGTCGTGTCGGCCAATAGGTGTCTGTGGCTTCTGCTCCCGACGAGGAAGCGGAGGAGGACGGCGATGATGACGGAGAAGTGGATGGGATACTCGATGCTTTACTTGAACTAACCAATAAACACTCAAGACGATTAATTGAATTGGTCATTAAATGCGGCAGAGAACAGCACAACTGTATAACAGCTATAATTAGAACCAGGATACAATCTTGAATTAAGTGTGTTAGACAATACTTTACAATATTTTCATATAATTTGTAAAATTTAATATCTCTGACATTTGAACCATGTAAATAAATATGCTTGAATTCACATTTAATCTTTATTAAACGCATTATTAATAATAGTAGGCAGACGATAATTGTACAACAGGGTATTACAAAACTGACTGCAGCAAAACAATATTCATATATAGTTTGACTATTTCTGTTCAAAAGACGCCAAGCTGGATACATTTTTTCGATGCGATTCTTAGAATTACCATTAGTTAGTTTAATTTTTAAATTTATTCCAATCAACTGATATGACCATACTTGAGGTAGACAAATGGCTAATGAACAGGTGATCAGTAAACCTGTGGTTAAGATTAAACGTCCAATCGATGTACACTGTGTTGTTTTATTAGGTATTATTGAACTATTCAAGTATAAATTCTCATCAGATTGTTGTTGTTGTTGCTGCTTCTCGTCTCCATGACATAATAAATTTGTATTATATAAATAATTTGATTTACATACAAAACATGTATATTCATTTTCTAGATTATAATTCATTTGTTTACAGATTGGACATGACCTGATTGAACACTTTTGTATTGAACATAATTTCGCGGCAAATTTAAATATCTGTTGAAACGCCGAACATTTCCCGCCTTTTTGAATCTGTTTGTCTGTTAGGCAATTATCATTCACAGAATGAGTTGTTAGTGTATTTAAGTAGCAATTTTCACTTAGATTTTCTTTAATTAATGTATATAAATAATTTATATAGTGATTAAATGATTTTGTCATTGGATTAATGTATAATTCACCCAGTATGTAGATACGGTCTATAATTATACCAATAATTAGCCAACATAGCGTTAAACGTAGGACAATTTGCATTGTTAAGATGGCTGGAAGTTGTGTAAGGAATTTTGGTGTAATATTAGAATCATACGAAGAAGGAGGAGGTGAAGAGGAGGACGAATTCATCAATAAATGTGAATTGTATTGATTAGTTACATTTGAATTATGCTTATTGATTAAATGATCATTATTATTATTATTAGTTAGTGTAATATAATTTCCAATTGACATTGGTATATAACGAGGTAATGTTGACAACCAGATAAGAGATGAATTAATCCCAGTTAAAACGTAGAATACAATTAAGTACTGTGAAAGTCTTTGTATATATGGACGTGTAAACAATGTGTACTTTGGACAAATATAATATTTTGATTCGATAAATATATTAATGATAGTAAATAATATTGTAGCCGCTGGGATCAATGGTAAACTGAAATAAAATATAATTTGTAAAACTTGTTGAATATTATCATTTGACAAAGTATTATTATTATTGAAGTTTAACTGATGATGATTAGAGTTTGGTTGATGGTAGTCAACAGATGACGACAAGTATAACTGATTAATAGCTTCATTTAAATTCACCGGTCTTACAGGTTTCAACAGCCAATCTTGTATTAACAAACCTGAATTAGTAAACGTCCAATACATACAACTTGGTAAAGTGGTCATAGATTCTTTTTCTGTTTAATTTTTTTTTTACTTTTGTTTATTTTCCGAAAATTTATTTTTGAACGAATAATTTCTCTTTCCACCGCGTCCTAATATATGTAATTATCTGAGTATATACATTTTTACATGAGTGAATCAAAAGTGCCACATTTATGGGTCAAACTCATTTTTGTTTTTTTACAGGCAAAATGATCATAAAGGTACATATAAACATATGTAAAGATGTTAATAACCAATCAGAAATGGTTGAATTGCTTCCCCACCCACGCATAGTTTAAAAACACAATGATGTGATTGGATATTTTTTATTTGCAGTATGTTTATTTATTGGTTAACAAAGTAACTTCAGTAATTTTTTTAAAAGTATTTTGCAGAAAAAGTAATAGAAAATGAAAATGTGAAGCTAGTTATCAATGTTCCTGCACTTATTCTATAGATGTCGACTAAATATTGGAGGATTACTCTAGGTAATAACAGAAATTATTGAACAGAAGAAATATGCTTTTGACTATCATTATTACTATTGTTTCCTTTAATTCCTAGAGGAAGATAAGGCTTCAGCCGCACGTCTCCATTGTGTTTGGTTCTCTACCGACGTTTCCACCTGGCTCCATGTCTGCTCACATGCTTCCATTTCCTCTTCACATGACCTCCTCCATGTCACCCTCGCACTGACGACCAACTCGCCGCTCCCCATTCGGGCGATGGCCTGGCGTGTGATGTCACTCATTTGATGGTTTGTTTTCTCAGAGTATGGCCAATCCACGTCCATTTCTTCATGCATATTTGCTGCACAATTGGCTCCTGTTGGGTCGGTTCGCTCATTGCCAGAGATGCCTCCCTGTTGCTGATCTTTTCTGGCCAGCCATCTGATCTTGAGTATTGAGCGAATGCAGCTCTTCATGAAGGTTTGTAGTTTGTTTGAAGTGCCCTTCGTGACGCGGTGCGGCGCTAAGTCTCTGTTCCGTATAGTAAGCGGCACTGATTTCACATTGTAGTTGAAAATCGGCATCTTATTTACATTTTCATGCTGAGTGCTGTTGATCATGCTTCTGATAACTTCTATATTTTAGGTAAATTATGCTTTTGTGTATATTAGTTGCGCACAAGAAAAATAAATCGCTGAATCTTATATTGATAATAATAATAATTAGGGTATTTGGTTAAGGAATAACAACGTTTACGTTATAATGGTTTCAGGTTTATTCACAAAATTACATCAGTTAGAAGACCATTGAAAACAAGGGAATACTGGATAGGTATTCCGTCCTAGTTTGGGGTTCTTCGGCAGTATTCACTAATGACCTGACTGGAGATGGGATCCAAGGCATTCACGTTACCAGGTGAGTCTGTTGACCCCTGAACTAAAGGATGACGGTGCTAGAGTTCTAGTATGAGGTTTCAATGAAAATAAGATTTGAGCACTACTGTATAAAGAAGAGACGTCAGAGGTCTTAAGTAGAGTTTCCAATGACGCCGGAATTACGGTTCCATTTAAACCAGAGATAGGCTTTGTCGGCTTAAGGACCCAATAGAACCAATTAAGAAAAATAATATAATGTACCAAATACCACGTAATGACTGTTAGTGAGGTCAGTCATATAGGTAAGTCAAACTAGTAGATCAGGGTCAACTATATTATTGGAAAATAAAAATTTAGCTAGACTTAGAATGGTTGACCCCGCTAAGTTAAATAACCTAGAAAAACACTCAATAATTGCACTGCACTGGATTCACTTGCAGGTGATCACAAAATAGTGTGGGTGGGACAGGGTGAGGGTATTGAAAAGTAACATGGTTAGGTGGAGAGACAGAGAGGTTAACCACTGAAGCTTCGTCTGTCGATTCAACACCTCACATGTTGTTTCGGATTGACGAAACGCCTATACCGGAGATATACGAAGTGGCAACAAAGGGAAGTTGGAGAGACAGAAAGAGAGAAAATATGTGTGTAAGACAAATTGTGAAAACGTGTCACTAAATTGATATGATTATGAGCAACAATTTATGCTCAAAACGTCATGCAATTGTTAATACTGAATCATCACTGTGCGATTATTCAAATAAACTTATCTACTAAGTAAAGGAGAAATGAAATAATAGAGAGTACGGTTTTAAGTGTTAACAACTGTGTGTGTCTGTGTGTAGGCAATATGGCTGGTTGCATTTTTACCTAAATTACAAACAGACACGAGAATAAAGTTCAATGAATGTCATACTGTGGTATAAGAAGGTATGTGTACGTAATATTGTAGGAATTTCAAATTAAAAAGCACAGACCAAGGAACTGACAGAAGTTGTAGATGCTATACTGTTACTATTATTCCCTTTGGTTCCAAGTAGAAGGCAAGGCTTCAACAGTACATCGCCATTAATCCTCTTCTCTGAGGTCCTTTTTAGCTAGCCCCATGTTTGCCCATAGTCTCTTATCTCCTCCATGTCAACCTCGGACGCTCAACTCGTCGTTTCCCATTCGCGTTCCACTCGAGGTACTGGTACTCAAGGGTCTCCTCAGAGTATATCTAATTTATCTCCATTCACTTTGGCATGTTTCCGTGGTAACATGTGGTTGGTCGGTTCACTGCCTGTTAGAGTTGCTTGTTGCTTGTCCTTTCTGGCTATTTGATATTCAGTATGGAGCCAGTGAAGGCAGCTGTCGATGAAAGTCTAAAGCCTGCGGAACACAGAGTGGGCTTTCTTATCCTAATTTCTGTCACTTTTTATGTTCACGGAATTATTTAATTTACCTAATTAATTTAATTTATATACCTAATTTCACTGTTGATGTGCTGATGAAGGTGACTTTAGAGGACTTTAATGTCTCAGGCACTGACACCGTCAGAGACAAGTCTTGTTGACGTATATTACGAAGATAATATAGTCCTTTTGGGCAGAAAGGCTAACTAGCAAAGATAGTAGGCTTTCTTTCCCATCATGTCACTGAAACTCTAGTCATTCAGATACAGAAACCGTAGCTCTGGATACAGAAGAGAAATACTCAACCATTTCTAAGATCACTTATTGACCCTATAGTCTTTTAGACTTTATCTAACCTTTATGTAATGTCACGTTACATGCATTTCCATGTTCACTCTTATTAAAACCCATTCACTAAACAACTTGCGTCGTTACGCAACTCTTTCCAACAACTTTAATTATCCTCTTCCCTGTACTGATTAATAATACTAACAACTATGTTAGATGGTTCGAGGCAATCGGCAGGAAGCCTTGTCTGACCTAGGTTTCGTGCTAGTTGGTACTTACTGGTCAGCAAGGCGGATCTGAAACGTCGAAGGAAGTCATGTCTCTTTTGAGATTAGAACCCACGTCACCCAGTGCTGCAGTCAGAGACATTACCAATGAGCAATTCAGCCTCGCAACTGACCTCCTGACTGATAGAATTCAGTCTGTGCCAAACAAAGGACTTGATACGTCACACTAGTTACTAATGTCCAATGAAAGTATTGATAACTATGCCTGTGACAATTCATTTCTTCTATGAATATCCTATTTTATAAAGAGGAACACATCTTACAGAAGCGCGAATGTACAGCTTAGGATGAATGAATTCGCTGGGAACAGCTTCTTTCCTGAGCACCCCTTGTTTTATTTTTTTCCATTAGTTCTATGCACCAGACTTTTATTCTCTCCTGATTTGTACAAGTGGTATTTGGCTGAGATATGAAAGCATAAAAATGGTAAGAAAAGTGTATAGAGACATGTTGCTTTTACATTTTTCACTCTTCCACTTTCTCGCATTTCCTGATCGTCAATGACAAATATGAAACTATTTATAAACGACCATAAGTAGTGTAGACATCGTTAAAAAAGTATATACATAAACGTTTCATGATGTTAAAATGCGTGTTTAATTTGAAAATATTTATGAAAAATATCTTTTCTTTGATCAGAAAGCTGTAAACAAAAAATACACGCATAAACTTATTTGTTTCGAAACCCTATTCGATGACAAGTTCAATCTCTCACTTTTTCTCTGTATTGTTGAGTCACCAGTCGAGTCGAGTAGAGTAGAGTGGAGTTAGAGTAGACGTAAAATACACAAGTTGACTTGTCATGCCAACATACAACCAAAAAACAAACGTAAAATGGGGTAAGTAAAGATGAGTAAACAGTCGAAAACTCACAGTTTCTACTGATCGTTTAAATGTATTGTGAGACTAGGGACTGTGGTGAGTTCATCAAATTTTTGGTATTGTTGTGGGAAAGGAATAGGCGAGGTGTATATCAATATGTCTATATATTTGCGTGTTTCGTCACAATAGTATTAGTCATCAGTTGTTGTATGAATGCATATATATGCACGTATGCGTGACAACGAGTAAATCAGAGCCATATATAACCACATACACACACACACACACACACGAACGAAAACACACGAACATGACTAAAAAATGGGAGAATATATTGAAGTTCGTCGTGGATAAATTTGAAATTTGACAAGTGTAAATATATTAAAAGTTGGGATAGATTAGCGGTTGATGCAGATCATTTATATGTGAATAATTGTTTTAGTTTCAAATCATTATGATTATTGACGCAAACTGTCGAGAAACGTATTCAATATGGACACGAACACTAGCTGAATCATTTTGAGGCAATTTGATCAGCAGGGTTTCAAGTTTCACAGGAAAACAATAGAATCACAGGCTGTAGAATAAGTCAAACTGAAGAGCAGAGAAGAATTCTTAGAAATTCATGAATAATCCCCATCCAGCTATAAATGAAAACAAAACAAGTAGTTCAGCGATGAGGTTCTTTCGGCGAATGTTTATTTTCCCCTTTCCCTTTAGCTGAACAGTCACATTTATATACAGTTTTTTGTCATGAAGGAGAGTAGTAACAAAAGTGATGAGTTGTCACAAACATATTTGTTAATATTAGTCAAAGCATAAAAGAAGTTGAGGGAGTGTATAATAGTTATGTAATAAGATGAATACTTTAATGAGTCAGTTGTGATCAAAATGGACATGGAAACGAAGGGAAATGTGGAGTTATGTAGGAGTTCTAAAGAAATACAAGAGTTATAAGGAATCAGAGAAACAAACGAACAAAAACCAGGTCAGTAGAAATCAACACGCTTGTTGCTATGATATTAGAAGTGGTTGGATAATTTCGTCTTGTATGCATAATTCTGGTTTTTATAATTCA